CAATTTATAGTAATTTTACGCACCTAATAGCGGTCCTGATAAAATCTTTAATTTCTCTGAAACGTTGATCGGGTTTCACTGCCGCAATACGCACCATGTCGGGAGCCATTACACTTAGTTCTAGATTTGGAGCTTGGAAAGGCATAATTTCCAAGAGTTCCATCGGTATAAACTCGTCCTTGTCCTTTTTGGTCTGTAAAGGAGATAATTGTAGAAAATCAATACGCGCAAACACCTCACTTACCTTCACGCAAGGAAGTTCGGGATATTCTAATCTAATGTTGTATTTGTTTTGGAAGTACGCTGCGATTGAGATTCCCGCATCCTCAATTATCTGTTCTTGAGCACTTCTAGGCGATAAGCCATACACTTTGAGACGCTTCGAATAATTCCTCCCAGTAACTAGAGTTAAGAGTTACATTAACTAAACCAATTTCGGTAGGGTCAACAACATACAAAGACAAACAGCGACTCATGCTAAACCACGGCGAATTAAGAACCTAGGTACAAGAAGAGCCTAAGCTCAATTAGGACAATTTTCATAACAGTGCTAAGGCTAATAACAACACTCTCGAGCTCCCTTGAGAAGTCTCTCTCGACTTCTTACAATAGAGCTTCCTACAGCCTATCAGATAACAATGACATTTTGCAAAAAGTCCTGACTAGAAAAAATGCACCCAAACGTGGAAGGATAGGCTGCATTTGTTTGAACAACAACCTCCAACCACTGTCTATAAAATCGCAGATTCCACTTTAAGAGGAGTAGGGCAAATGCCCCAAAGCATGAAACTATCAAACAAATATGGATTCTCACATAATAACAATGCTCCGGCACTAAATATGAAATCACTCTTCTCAGGCACAGTTAACCACTAAGACTTCTATTACCCAACTTCCAGTTGACTTAACTTCTACCAAAGACCGTAGTGGTCGAAATGTCACACAGTAGAACGGCATTCTCAACCATGACAACTCTACGTGTTCTTACAAGCTAAATAGTAAGAATCCTTATTGTCACCCAATAAATCCTTCTCCACCTTTGCCTCAAATTGACAGCCACTCACATCTGTTTTCACCAAGAATAAAACACCCAACTTATAAATAAACGAACATTAAATTTGAGTGCGTATGAGAAAGTCAACTAACCTGAATTTACGTAATGATTTGCTACTACATCGAGCTCATTTATTCTTTCACTTATTCCTTTCCAATGCCTACTATCGTACATATCATTCCCTTTCATACTATATATCACATCGGCGAGATTACCAGAGGGGAAAAAGGCCTTGAAGGTCTAAAACAGTAATGCTGTGTTAATTTCAAAACCAAACATGGGAAATTTCGACAAAGTTGATGGCAAATTTACCAAATCTGCATTGAGCCTTAGTTTCCATTGTGGACGAGCACTTACTGAGAAACCCTTGAATACAACGAATAATGGTTTACGCTCACTACCGCTATATAGACCACTTTTGATCAGAGTATATTGATCCTTATTTATCCACCTCAATAAATTATCGAGCATATTGATGGCATCTTGGGGAAGTTGATCTGTTCTTGCTGGGCCCTTTGTCAGGTAATCCAATATAGGCTGAGCCGATATGGTTCCGACATATTTGATTATATATCTAAGCTTCACATTTTCTCCCTCAGTCTCCGGTAAGGCCAGTGTAATGGGACTGTCATTAGGGAATTTATTATTATCTAAAGGTTTCAGCGTGTAGAGGAACCTTTGGCCATCAGAAAACACATCCCGCCCCATTCTACAAATTAAAAAGGCGTTTCACATGGGCAAATATATTAAAACAATAACATTAAAGATCTCTACTGCTTTATAAAAGCCATTTGCAGTCTTATCAAACTGAATCCAGGCTGGAGGAGGATACGTACACAATGATTGAATGTGCAATGGGCAAGTTCTCGATTCACCCTAACATTCACAAAATTTGAACTTACCACGAAGATATCTCCCTATTTTACTGTTTCTGAAGGTCTTCACACAAACGATTATTTTTCAGGTATTAGACTCAACCAAGCACAAAATTACGAAACTTACAGATTAAAGACATGGGGCATGTGTCTTCTTAGACGGTTAACTTTGTCCGTAAGTATTTTTTCTTGATTATTTTCGTTAACTGTAAACAAATTCACAGGTTGAATGTCGTAACGATGTATAAGTGTGTTGCCAATCTCCAGATCCCAACAATTGACCACAACCTTCGTTGGTTTACCCACTTTACCGTTGGAGGGCCGGTTTGGCAAATAGCGCTCACGTGAGAGAGAAATCTCCCTAGAAAGGATTCGGGTTGATGGAATCCATTCAATAAGATAAATCTTACATCGATGGGCTAAAAGAGGAAAGCGAAAAATGTAAGCCAATATGAAAAAGTACGTTAACTAGTAGACGAGGTGTACTTACCTTTCGGATTCGGTGATAGAGAGCGATTCCATATCTTTTGCCAAACTACAAATTCCATTTGATGGAAGAAAAAAGTTAGCTAATAAGCAGATAAACATTATTTAATGAAAACTGATTAACCCTATTTGAATACTTCTACTCTAGGATCCAAGCAACTGTATCACAAGAAATAGACTTCACTATTTCAACGGCGATTGCTATTTTCCATGAAACAAAACTAAACTAAAAAATGGAGACAATTTGCAAATATTTGAATCTCGGTCATCAAACTGATAGAGGCTTCTAGTGTCCCACAGTCCTTCTTGAAGACTTCATTCAGTACATTAACACTAATTGGTAGATAGGATAAGAGGAAGCATTCACCACCACTATCACTAATAATTGGAACTAAGCACCAAAGAACCCATGGGAAAGTTGAAATGAGCCAAAACTTACGACTGATTCCCGGAAGAACCTTGACCTTTACCACGTTTTTTGCGTTTACTATTTCCACTATTTCCTGATTCACCTGTTGGTTGGTCCCCTGGTGGCGGTATTGAATGCGACGCGATAGGACCAGACTTTTCTAGCGGAAGTTCAGAAGAAACAATAGGTGGCCCAGTCGTTTCTACATTTCCTGCTGGTGTTGTAGATGGAGAAAAACACCGAATATCACCTCTATCACCCCAACCACCTGCTCCACGTGGTTGTGCTCGACCCCCACGGCTTGAGCCATAACCGCCCTGACCTTCATTTAGACCACCGCGCGAGCGTCCACGATTGCCTCCACGAACACGGGAAGGATCATGGCCGCGACCACCTGAAGCACCACGATATCCACCTTCATTACCACCACCACTAGGTCCAGAATGAAATCCTTGACCACCCCGATGACCACCCGGAGCACCACGGTGTCCACCTTCATTACCACCACCACCACCACCACGAGGTCCAGATTGGTAACCTTGACCACCTCCACGACTTCCCCGACCACCGCGGTTTCCACCTCTATCACTACCACGTGGCCAATCTCTGTCTTGGCTGAAGAAATTAGTGTCGAAAACAATTAAAACACCCAAGTAACATGCGAATTTTGTGAATCAAAAATAACCATACCCTCTAGACATCTTATGATAATAGTGAAAACTCTAAAGGATAAGGCCGCTGTATTTAAGAGAAATAAAAACGCTACGAGGAAGCACAATAAAACGAAAGAGAGATACGAGCAAATCTAACAACGAAGGCGTATGACAGCTAAATCAAATCATCCACTATTTCAGGGTCATGTGTTTATTAACTCAATAAAAAATGTAAGACTGTTATGACTATACAATTTATTTAACTTGTTATAAATTTCATTTATATAGCTTAATTGATTTAAATGTTTTACCAAAAAATTATAATATTCCATTTTCATTCAAAATAATTACTCAAATAGAACTAAATGCAACTAACAAAACGTCAGATGGCCTTTATTGTGTATGATAAATTTATTTAAAATTGGTATCGAAATGCTATGCTTTTTAATCTTTGAGGTTTCAAGCAAATTCAATGATGCTTTTACGAATTTCATGAAGCCATACCCAGTGGATAAACTGCTTAAGATCACTAAATTCAATCATGTGGGCTGCATTTAAATCCGACCTTACTTCTCTGCTTAATCAAAATCATTTCTTTACTTACCATGTAATGTTTGAAACTAAATTTAAGATTGCTTACTTTAAATAATGTTCAATGAATTTTTGTGCTCGAAACCGAATTTCTAAACTGAGACTTCAAACAATTCTAAAATATTTTAAAAATCGTTTTAAAATATGTGATGAGCTTTAATAAATCAAATATCAGGCAACCGTGCCTATAGCGGTTTTATCTAAATTTTCTTTGATTGTACGCCACACCTTTTCACATTTCCTATAATGGTTCACAATTCTCCCTTTTAATGATCTACTTCAACACCATTCATAAGTATACGAATAGCTCTAAATTAGAATTTGTTTCCTGGATCATTGATTTTTTCAGAATATGTATAAGAACGATATACCAGTGAATTATAACAACCCCGATATACCCATTCCATGTCATTCATTCTGTTTCCCGATATTGCCCAGGTTTATTGCCTAATTAAGGCAGCGATGGTAGCGATGTGGAAGCAACACATTATGCAAATTCAGGTTAGTTATCTTGCTCATACGCACTCAAATTTAATGTTCGTTTATTTATAAGTTGGGTGTTTTATTCTTGGTGCAAACAGATGTGAGTGGCTGTCAATTTGAGGTAAAGGTGGAGAAGGATTTATTGGGTGACAATAAGGATTCTTACTATTTAGCTTGTAAGAACACGTAGAGTTATTTTCAAGGAATTTAAAGTTTGCTTGCACTAAATTAGATGTCATGGTTGAGAATGCCGTTCTACTGTGTGGCATTTCGATCACTACGGTCTTTTCTAGAAGTTAAGTCAACTGGAAGTTGGGTAATAGAAGTCTTAGTGGTTAACTGTGCCTGAGAAGAGTGATTTCATATTTAGTGCCGGAGCATTGTTATTATGTGAGAATCCATATTTGTTTGATAGTTTCATGCTTTATGGAGCTTCCCCTACTCTTCTTGAAGTGAGATCTGCGATTTTATAGACAGTGGTTGGAGCTTTTTGTTCTAACATATGCAGCCTATCCTTCCACGTTTGGATGCATTTTTCCTAGTCTAATCTTTTCAAGCTTTTGGATTTTAGTGCCTCTGAAATGATCGTTGTGCTATCGGCTTTCTCTCCTCTTCTTTCTAATCTCTATCAACTCCAGCTACACTTGACCGCCGTGGGGTCATTGAACTGCAACAGTCAGAGTGCATGCTTCGAGAAAATGGACATCTGTTTCTTTATTAGGCTTATTTCCAAAATTTCACTATTCTCCTATCCTTGATAAAGCATAAATAAAACTAAAAATTGAATCACTATTTTCATTTATTACTTCATTATTATATTATTATTTGTTAAGTCGAATCATTCTAAACATATCCTAATTTGTACACAGTAGATACATATTACTGTATTAACTTCCGAAATCTCCGATTAGTCTTCCTCATTCCACTTTTATTTTGTCAACTTTTTAGTTCCAGGCTTGAAGTTCGTAAAAGGTTTAGTCAATGCACTGTCGATGATATTTAATGTTCATAATGATTCTACCGCTTGAATTTATTATCTTTCTTTATTTAAGGCAAAGATCGCTGAACCATTCGTTTTTCATCTGGGCAACCTATAACTTGTCGAACACAATGCATATGTAGCGGATTGCTACGCTAGTAAAGCCTGACTGACTCAGAAATCTCTATGGCAGATTCTCCAACATCTAGCTAGACTACCAGAACCAGCTAAGCTATAGCCCAGCTATGAAGAAAACAGACGTGTAGCACGGAGCACGTTCATTCAGGACGTGTATTGCGGATCAAGTGTACACGCAGGGAGCTACTCATGATCAGGATGGGGGTTTAGGTTAAACAGAGGTTAATGATTGGTCACTGTTTGTACGGTCGCTGCACACAGAGTTGTACGGCCGCACCTCCCAACCCTGGCGAGAAGACATGCGGGCATACGATGGCGCACACAGCGATAACGTGTTCCACAAATGAAATTGTGACGAAAAAATTCTACAAGTTATTTAGAACGGTATTTTAGGCAAAACAACTGTACTTTCGTCGATTATCCTGAAAATAAATTAATTCGAATACTCATCTCGAGTAGCCTTACTGCCAAGATATCCATTTCCACAGTTTAGTTGAAAACGCCTTTTCAACCAAAAAGCAATGAGATTGCAAAATATGAATTCAAGATTTTGAAAATTCCCAACATGGCAGTATCAAATATTTCATGAAAGTCAATAAGTTTCAGCTGTCTTAGTAATAACATTGATGTAGTAGTGGTAATTGAAAGTTCATCGCTTGCCTAGTGCATTGAGCAACGAAGACTGAAAGTGGCATATAGAAAGCCAATGAGTTTTTCCCACCGATAGGGGTCTTAATAAAGCATGGAAATGGAGCAGACAATCACATTGAAAATCATCGGTGATTCAATTTTTGCTTACTACGAGAAGCAGATGAGGCACGTGCCGTAACCCTTTGGAACTTCCCACATCCTCACAGTACCGTTATTTCCTATATGCGAGTTATTCTGCAATTCAATACACACTTTCCGTTTCACTATTGGGTAGTCATAACTGCTTT